CTGACTTATATCTACACAATACATCATCAAATATCATATTTTCTTGCATTGATTGCTGCAAAGTTCCAACTCCAGTTACAAATGGATCAAATTCTTGTGGCAAAGATCCCAATAGCACTGCAATTTTCTGTTAATTATTTAAATGTCCACCAGCTAAATAAAGTTTACCTAGGAGCATTTTCATGGTTTGAATATGCTTCAAATAATTCCCACCACTGGGAAGCTGCAATGCAAACAGATCTTTGTAGTAATCTGTTTGATGTTTAATGTCTGCTTTGCCATAGTATTTCTTTAAGATTTTAGTCATATTTTAGAATCTTTTACATGAATATATTGATCATCTCCCACAGTTTAAGCAATAAAACACTTCACTTTTGCATGATTCTTTTCTCATGTCTGTCTCTCTCTTTCTCCTTCTGGACATTCCATTTCCAAGATATATAGGATTCCTTCTTCATCCATCTGAAGTTTCTTTCATTGAAACCAAATATTAAAATTATCCTCAGTTAGTTTAGATATCAAAGACCAGCCATATGCCACTACTTGAGCCATTTCTGCCCACACAAAACAAAACCTCCTGTTTAGAAAGCTCAGAAAGAAAAAATGCACTACACCTCACTTGTGCCAAAAATCCAAAAATCTCTGACTTCCAAAGCCACAATCAAAAAATAAAATTATCTTATGGAGATTATCTGGAGTCCATAACCTATTAGAATTTTGATTTTGGTTAATTTGTAGTTAAATCAATTTATTAGCAACAGCAGCAACAGCAAGTATGTATTCCACATCTATTTGGTAAAAACAACTAGATCTGAGCTTCTGGTAAATAAACAGGATACATTGATAGGTAAAAGGAAACTTTATTGTTACATCTAGGTTCTATAAAAATAACTAAACAATAGGGGGGAAAACTATACTTTGGTACAGAGGTTCCTAGGAAAACGTAGAACTACACACAAACACTGATGCTAATACTCCAACAAAAATATCCCCCTCCATTCCTGAGAGAAGAACCAGCATGGTGTAGTGCAGGGGTAGGCAACCTTTTTGAGCCAGGGGCCGGATTGCTGTCCCTCAGACAATTGGGGGGCCGAAGCACCAAAAATAAATAAATAAATAAATAAAAATTTAAATTTAAATTTAAAAAATATATGCATGTACATTCTCTCAGCCCCAGAAAAGCCATGGCAAAACCCCTGTGGAGATTTTGCCAAGAAAACCCCAAGAACAAGTAATAACAACAATAATCAATATCATCATGGCCGCTGCCACTGGTGGTGGCAGGACCAACCTGGGGCCAGTCCAAAGGCCTCAGGAGGCCGCATCCGGCCCCTGGGCCTTAGGTTGCCTATCCCTGATGTAGTGCTTTGAGTATTGGACTAGGACACTAGGACATTAAGGTTCAAATCCCCATTCAGCCATGGAAATCCACTGAGTGGCCTTGGACAAGCAGAGAAAGGCAAGGGCAAATCTTCTACAAGCAAATTCTACCAACAGCCCCCCATGATAGGGTCACTGTAGGGTCACCAAAAGTTAAAAATTACTTGAAGACACCCAACAACAACAACAACAACCTGCTAAGCGCTGTATGCCAACTTAGGCAATGTGGGGCATGCTGCCTGGTGCATATTTCTCTGCTGTCTACCACAGTGGTTTTCAATCTTTGGACTTCAGCTCCCTGAATCCCTGAGCACTGATCAGTGTGGCTGGGGCCACTGGGAGCTGAACTCCAGTGCAAAGGAACTGTTTCAGGCAGCAGATGTAAGGGGACACAAGCAGTGTTCATCTAATATTAACACTGAGAAGATCAAACACCTCCTTGACCAAAACCAAGTATCTGCTTTCTGTTGCCCCAGCATCTGTTTCTTTACTCACCCCTAATGTCTTCCTCCTTCTGCTTTATGGTGGGACCAGCCTTGGCACTTTTGAATACATATATATGGCACTTATATATATATATATTATTCTTTGGCTCAAAATGAAGGGCAACACTTCTTCAGTTTGGAAAAGTGATGTATGTGAGAGAGTGTGCACAGAGCAAAGAATTTCACACAACTGTAATTCTATTTAGATTGCTGTCAGTGACAGACAGAATTTACTTAAAGATATTTGTGAGCTTTCCAGTTACTCATTCATGCAAATAAAGATAGCCCTAGAAGCACTGCCCTTGCAATCACCCCCCTTGCCCTTTGTAGCTGTGGAGAGAATGCTAAATTAAAATCTCACAGCACTGGCAGAGGTGGGTTTTTTTCATCAAACCAGAATAATTATTCAGACATGTTTACAGCTGCAAGGTTATATTTCTGAGGATTTTGAAAAATATATGAAAAATGCAAACCAGCATCTAACAGGTATTCTAGATACATCACTAGATTATTTTGTAGTGCCCCCCACTGCTTCCACCATCCTAAGTCCCTATCTTCTGCATCTGCTTGAGTAAGACAGTTTACAGCCATCTAGATGCTGTTGGGCTGAAACTGCTGTATCACACACTGTGACTGATGGGTATTGCAGTTCAACAATACTTCATGGGCCACAACTAATCCACTCCTTTAATTCCTCTTTCAGATGGAGGAGACTGGCCACTTCTTAGGTCATTGTGCAACAGATGTTTTTGGATGGAGAGGATTAACCTTCATTCTTTATTAATGAGTGTGAGGTTTGCAATGTAATACCCACAGACAGTATCTGACCTATGCAAGTTTTTCAAAAACTACCCCCTCCCCAATTTTTTTTCTCCCAAAAGAAATGTCAAAGAATGATACTTTCCCATTCACCAGAAAAGTGTGCTAGGAGTCTGGATTGTTTTCGCAATGCAGCTGAGTTGAGCATGGAGACATGCAATAAGATCTGTTTTCACCCATTTAAACCCATGTCCAGGTCATGCCCAGATCAGGCAAAAAAAGGTGTGTGATAATCTCCTTAGTGTTACCTGGAATGACCAACAGGATTGTTTTATTTGTTCCTCAGGTCCTATTTTGGACCCCCAGGATACTGGGAACAATGGGCTGGAAACTATGGATACATGGAATGAAACAAATCTCAGCTTTTGGTCATATACAGTACTACTACTTCCTGTTGGAAGAGAGGTCAGAGATTTCTCAGCTTGGACCTTTTGGATTCCTGAATGAGCAAAATATATATATATATATATGTGTCGGTAAGGCTTTGCAAACCTTGGCCAACTTACAAGACAGTGGGACAGTATGGAGATGCTACCAAGCTGGATAACATGGATACTTTCAATGACTCTGTGTCCAGAGTGCACCCTGATAAGACATTAGGATCATAAGACAAAGGAAAACTGTTTTGGAGCAGTTACAAAAAAGATACTGTGAGATACAAGGCTTCCCATGCCACAATACAGCACTGAAATTCAATGATGAGAGTAAAGAGTCCAATTACAAGACAGGAACATTTGGGGGTGTCAGTGGATCAAAAAGCAGCTGAGCCCTGAGAAAAAGCTTTCCTCTTTTTCTCCTCTACCTTTTTGCACTGATATTGAGAAAAGATTCCATTTGTACACTGGGTTATGTTTTCCAGTAGAGAGTTTTCCACAAGCTCTTTTACAGCTGAATTTATTTATTTTTCTTAATTGGTATTACATGTATTGTCCCTTGGTGAGGCTCAGGATTCTCTAGTCATTTTTTTCCAGATCTCTTTGTCTTCCTAGCTTAATTTTACCAGTCTAAAGATTCCTAGACCCATCTTCCTCAAGCCACACACAAGCATTCAGGGACCTGCCTCTTAGATTAAGTAACCATTGATTTTTTTTCCTTCCTGAATATTTAGGCCTGTTAAGATCCTGGGAGTGTAGTAAGCTTTATTAAAATAGGCCTGGCAAAAGACAAGAAGCAAATGTAGTTTTTTATAAAAGGCAAACTGTGGATTTTTTAAATGTTGTACTTCTTGTCTGTGAGAGAGAAAAACTTAAAACTAATTTTCTACTCTAAGTAGTTCCAATCATTATATTATATTTTCTACATATGCATGATTTTCTTTTGATTTTGCATGATTTTCTTTTGATTTCCTCTCTGGTCCCACCCTTTTGCCCACTACAGCAAAGAGCGGACTCTTATTTTCCTTACCTTTTCCTTCTAGACATCCTGCCCTCTGAAGGAAAAGACAGTGACTACAGCCTAAAAACCCTAAAGGCAACAGATCCTGTCTGATCTTAGAAGGTAGATGGATGGGACACCACCAACAAATACCAGGTGCTATGAGTTATATTACAGAGGAAGGAACTGGAAAAACCACCTCTGAGTATTCCTTGCCTAAGAAAGCCCTAGGAAATTCATGGGCTCAGCATAAGTCGGCAGGTGACTGGAAGGCACATGTGCATATGCACACACATACTAGAAAGAGCTTCCCAACTGTGCCAGTGAAATTAAGATGATATCAACAAATGCCTTGAAGCTGTGGTCCAGTCTGCATGAGCCAAATAAATTGGCCTTTCCCCCCGTTCTCTCTGTAAGGAGACTGGATAACGCATGCCTGAACACCAATTCTGGTGCAAGCAGACCAGATAATGTGCAGCCCATTCAGTACCAAAATTGGGCTTTAACCCTCCTTAAAACATGTTTTAAAAACTTGTTACTCCAGGTCTTCCTGGAAGATCCAGAGCCCTCTGTTCTGATGTTAGGCAGCTATTCAAAATGTGTCCCACTGAGACATCCAGAGCATCTGCTGCTGCTGCCAGTCACTTACTCTGAGGTCAGACTGAGGTGCACAGCCATATGATCAAGGCTAGACACCTCATTCTGACCTCAGAGTGAAGTGACTGATGGCAGTGGTGGACTCATGAGGTGGCTCCCTAGGACACATGTGCAATCGGAACAGATGGTCTTTATAATGGGGCAGTTCCAGCACCACAATATTCTGGACTGCCCTGTGCCAGGGCAAATAGGACCTGTATTACCAGAAATGCAAATATGACTTGCAAAGCATTCAGTGAAAGGGGAATGTAGATTTTAATTTTTCAGCTGTGACACATACCGAAAGTTAGCGTGGTGTAGTGGTTTGAGTATTGGACTATGACTCTGGAGACCAGGGTTCAATTCCCAGCTCAGCCTGAAACCCGCTGGGTGACACATTGGATGTTATCACACGGGGCCTAAAGCAGTCCCATCCTCGTCGCATCCCCGTCCCATTGCGGTTCCTTTTCAATCCAGAACTTACCAGCAAAAAGAAAGCAGCATCATTCTGGTATCATTCTGGTCATGGCAGAAATGTAATTCCCAAAAGAATCCAGCATTCAAAAGAACGGGGATGATGCCGGATGATGCCGCAATGGGACGGGGATGGGACGGGGATGGGTGTGACATCGTGTGAAGACACGGGGAAAAGAACCGCAATGGGACGGGGATGGGACAGGGATGGGCGGGGTTTCTCTGCGACGTCGTGTGAACACAGGGGGAAAGGAAGCGGAATGGAACGGGGATGCGATGGGGATGGCACTGCTTTAGACCCCGTGTGATAATGTCCATTGTGCAAGTCACATTCTCTCAGCATCAGGGGAAGGCAGTGGCAGACCTGTTATGAACAAATCTTTGCCAAGAAAACCTTGTGGTAGGTTTGCCTTGGGGTCACAACTTGAAGGCAACAACAACAACAACACACTATCACTATCAGAAGTGGATATTGGTGGGAATTAGAGTGGTAAAATGAGGCATGCAGTATTTTGATGCTTCATGGTACTCCAGTAGTATGTAACAATAGCACAGCACCAGGATTAGATAAGGATTCAGCTCTCAGCACCAAACCCTTGAGCAGTGATGCATCCACAGATATAATAATGAGTTGCATTGATGAGGCACTTGAAAGGTCTCCAAACATTGTCCCATTTTTATTTAGTCACCCTTTAGCCTCCGATAATGACTGCTCTGAAAGAGACATGTCTATAAGTATGGGCAAATTATTCACTTCTACTCAAGCAGCCAAAAGATAAGAGCAGTAAAGAAGATCACTACAGTGCCAGCTTCTTAAATGTAATAACTAGTAAACCTTCCCAGAAAATGTACAAGATAAGGACTGTAACAGAGCTTACCATTTCTGTAGTACTTTTTAGTATGCAAACTGTCATAATCGATAATTTTAATAATCAGATAGTGCGAGCGGGCTGTCAACATTTTATGTTCAGTGACACAGTGAGTAAAACTACAGCAAAAGCAGCAAATTGAGAGGTTTGGGAATTCAAGTCTGCTTTGAAGTTCATGTGCTCTCTGCAAGAAGCCCTAACCTGAAATCCAGGATGGATGGTGGTTATATTGTGGTAAAGAAGGACCCTCTGTACATGCTCAAAGAACTTGATTTTTGTTATTAAATGCAATTGCATCACACTGTTTCTCTAAGGCATTTAAAGTGGAGGAAATAGGTTTTGCCCTTTATCTGTACAAAAACTCTGTAAGGGATATGGCCACAATATTGTGACTTTCCCAGAGTTGGGTGGCAAATACTTTTAAGACTATAAACCCAGAATCCCCAAGCAGGCATGGCTGCTGACTATGATAGTTTGGGATTTCTAGGGGTTGTAGTCCAAAACAAAACATTAACGTATTTTGTTGTTCACCGCCTCGATTGGCTAGCCAGAGGGGCGGTATATAAATAAATCGTATTATTATTATTGTTATTATTATTATTATTATTATTATTGTTATTGTTATTATTATTATTATTATTATTATTATTATTTTCAAAGTTCTAATACCATCTAATACCACTTAAAGAGGAAATGACTTTCTTTTATACTACACTAAATAATGTTTCCCATACTCTGAGCCATCCAGTGAGTTCCATCAAGCCAGATATGCTAAAACCACAGAAATAATCTGAAAAGTGATCTTTTTCAGTTTGTATCCTAAAAGCATGAGATACACCTTTTCTGATACTACAATCTCATCATGTAAAATATCAGATGATTTTATGATCTTATTTATTAAAATAATTTAATCTCTTCAGGGCAGTAAGAAGTAACTTTTCCAAGTTTTGATATATTTGGCATCATGAGCAGGAGAAATGTTCTTACTTACCAGGGGGTATCGTAAAGTTTTCATTATCACCTTTAAAAAAATTGACAGAAAGTTTGTTTTGATTTGTAATTGTTAAATTATCTCTGTGTAGTCATGATCCAGATTTACATATTTTTCCCAGTGTTTCTTGATCTGAATACCGTTATTGTAGAAGTCTGCAGATTGCATCTTAAACCACTCTTCCACTTCATGAATGACATCATCTGTGTTGTCAAATTGGTGATTCAACAACAGATTTTTTTATTTGGGGAAAAAAGTCACTTGGTGATGATGATACTGACAAAATTTCATCAATATAACATAATAACTTCTGGGTGATAATTATTACTTTATAATCCCCCCTCATACACCTGCACAAATTTGTAAGTTATTGTGTGCAATAACACAAAAAGGATGGTTAATAGTTTGTGAGACTTGGCTATAAGCAGAATCCTGAGCTTCAATGGGCAGTGGTGGCAGAAGAGCATGCAATAAGGTGATATTGTTCACCTAGAACTTGTACATGCAAGTAAATCGTCTGTTATAATCATAGACTGGGGAGATCTTAGTCCAAATTCCCATTCAGACAAGAAATGCACTAGGTGACCAAAGAGTATCTTTCAGCCTATCTTACATCACACACTGTACTCATTATTTCGGAATGTAGACCTGAAAATATTGGTACAACCTGTATTAAAGACAGAAAGACACAGTGACATCCCAAATGTATAAAAGCTAAATTGACAATGTTTCTCAGATTTTAGACCATTTTGTATAAGATCTTGAGAGTTCTACTAGAGGCTTGTACATATGGAGTTGAACTAGTGATCAGCTTTAAATATTACTATATAAAGTTTATTAGGAAGGGATGCACATTTACTAATATTTGAATCTCTATGTATCTTAATATCTTGCATTGCAGTGATAAATTCAAATAACTTAGCAGCTTGGATTGTTTGTAGGTTGGGCCAGGCTGTCATGGGTTTGAGATTGGGAAGTGTGCAAAAATTCTAAAATCACATACCCGGATCAGCAGGTATGTATGCCATACATTGCTAAGATACCTTGAGATTATCTGTCACAACCCAGCAAAGAGGCTAGTTGTGGTGAGTGTCATCAAAGTCAATTGGGCTTACATTTTTCCTGCCCCACTCCCATGTCATTGTTTTCAATGGAATGGGATTTTCTGGCTAATGTTTTGCCGGACTGTGCTATACTTTGTGATTTATTTATTTATTTATTTATTTTGCCATCCCACCTTCTAAAGGCGAAGGAGGGTGGCTTTCTCCGTTTGCTTTTTCATACGTCCCGACACTATTACTCAGGTTGCTTTCAGAATCCGAAAATCCAAGAAATATATTCACAGATGTTCCCTTGTTTGTTTGTTGACTCTGTGTAATTTGTTTGCCCTAATTTGTTTTTGTCTGTCAAGGGACTTCCCTTTTTAATTTCCCTTTCTCTGTTTACCACTCTTTGTGGAGCAGCGGTCTGTTAAGCTGTGAGAGGCACATGCCAAATTAAAAAAAAGAGAGAGAGGAGGCCTTGCAGATTGTTTTAAGCATAGGCTGCCCCTTTGGGCCTGCGGGCCGTGCTTGAAGCCTGCACCTGCTCCTCCCCCAGAGACCCAGGGCTCCTGATCTTTATCCCTTGCCTTTAAGCTGCCTGATTCCTATTATCCAAAGTCAAACAGCGTTCTCTACATTCACGCCTCCAGCACTTGGCATGAAATTAATAAGCCTGGCTGATATATTTCCCTGGAAGCCTGCCACTCTTTAACAGTGGTGTTAGATTAAAAATTTTGGCATGGTTAATGAACAGGGAAAAGCTGGAGCCAAAAGTTTCATGCAGCAATGCAAAGATTTGGAGGGGGGGGAGAAGGCTGGTATTATGAAAAGAATACCAACTTTGTTCGCATTTTCTGAATGCCATCCTAATTACAGAGCTAGACAACATACACAACAGAATAGACAGAGCTGGAAGAAAAGGCATGTTCTTATCCTGCCCTCGCATTTAGATTTTTATCGCCAGTCTTTTCAATCGCATACTATTATGCTATATTATCTCAAAAAGCAATAATAGCTGTTTGTGCTCAAAAAGAAAAGACGTCCGTCTCGCCTTTGTTAGCTACAGTTGCAGAAAAACTCAATTTACAGTTGAAATGTAAGCAAGAAGCTCACAAACTTTGTGAACATTAAGACATCAGTGTCTCTAAACTAAAAGCAAGATCCAGGCTTCAGGTGTTGCCAGAAATGCTCATAAATACGATTAATGGCCACTGAAATCAAGGAAAGATATGCTTGAGAAAGTTTGGGATACAAGAAATATTATCTGGAAGTTTCCTATGAATTCAGGCATGAGTTGGAAGCTAGTTGTCCCTGAATGCATGGTATTTTGAGCTCTTGTTTGTTTCATGAAGAAGGCAGCATTAAATTGATAGGTACCTGTGGTATGTTTGAACACAGGCACTAGACTCCTTCCTCTTGCTCTTCTTTTGGTCTATACTTGCTGCAGGCCTGTACTCTACAGCCATTATGTAGAGTCAGGTAGGGCCTCGGGCAACAGATGCTGTGAGACAAGGTCCAGAGTAGGCTCTGTATGTCACCTGGCCTTCTCTGAAGCTTCTAAGCAGGTCTGCTGCTCTCAAAGAACAATTATAGTAGAAAGAGATTCAGCAACCAGTATGGCCAGTTTCTCTCCATGGAAGGGAGGGAAAGTATCAATGTGTTCCTCATTTCAACCAGGAAAAGGTCTTGCGCCACCCCTGAATTAAGTGATCATGATTGGCACAGAACCTGAATCCAGTGATTAAACTCAAAGAAATGATTATATTTATCTGAATAAAGATAAATCAAATTCAACTTCTTTGGCAATTTAATAATAGTAGCAGTAGCAATAGCAGGACAAACAACAACAGTTTCTTCTTTAGGCTGACTGACATTTGCACATTGATGATGGCATAGTAAGGTATAATGACACTTTGTTAAACTAGCATCTTGCCTACTTTGTTTTCACAGACAAGCAAAGATTTTTCTATTCTGATGGGCATCCGAGGAGTAATGATATAA